TGTCTTAAAAGTTTAATAAAATGTGAAAACAGAGAGCACAAAAACACTTCAAAATGACAACTCCACATTCTCGATTTTCCCACAAAAATTCAAAATATAGACTTCAGGTATGTGTTTGGTATAAATTGGCTAGTGTCAGGAGGACAGTATGCAATCACTTGAATAGACAGTAAATTGAAGGAGACAATGGAAGGTTTTATCTTGCAATAAAATTTAGAGTGTATTACCTGAGCGACAATATTCAAAAAAATGGTAGAATGGCTGGATAGTATGTAAGCGGCTTGATTAAGCTGCAGTGTAAGAGGAAAAGAGGAGGCAGGTTATATCTTGAAATATTCAAAAGAGTGTATTATTTCAGAGAAAATAGCCACAAATATTGTACAGTGGCTGGACAGTATGTGCACAGCTTTTTTAGTCTTCAGTGTAAAAGTTTTATCTTGAAATAAACATTGGAATGTATTATTTTAATGACCGCAGCCACACATACAGTTGTACAGTTGCTGAACAGTATATAAGCAGGTTGATTAGGCTGCAGTTTAAATGGTATAGATGAGGCAGGTTTTACCCTGAAATAAAAATTAGAGTGTATTATTTCAGAGACAGTAACCACACATATTGTAGAGTTGCTGAACTGTATGTAAGCAGCTTGATTAGGCCCTAATGTAAGAGGAAGAGATGAGACAGGTTTTAGTCTGAAATTATAATTAGTGTATCATTGAAATGCTACTCCCAGTGATCTTAGTGGTGCAGATTCATGTGTCTCCTCGTGCATGTAGTACCAAAATGACTGGACAGAGGCCAACCACAATGGCACTGTTGGCAGCAGAAGCGTGAAAAAAAGCCCAGACTGCAGTTAGAACCTCTGTCAGCTTTTTTTTAATGGATGTCTGTTACTCCATGGACAAGGCTGGCAAAAAAAGTTTTTTGATGCCTGTTTTCCCTTTGTCCTACTGGTCCCCTGTCACAGGGACAGCAAGTGAAGGGAACTCTCCAGCAGGGAAACATACAGCAATAAGGACCTTAGAGTGGTTCATAATCTTCCAAACTCACTCCCAAGCTAAAACAAAATGTTTTGGGTAGAGTTAGGCTTTAACATTCTTATCGCCGGTGACAGAGTATAGGTAATCCATTACATCAGTCAGAAATGTGGGCCGCTGTTTTAGACCAGCTGTTACTTTTACTTTATGTCATGCCTGGCAGACTTAATAACATGACATTTTCAAAGGTTAGGTTGCTGTTATCTGCCATGCACAAATCTTGTCAGTAAGCTGACTCCGGAGAAGGTTTATGGCTATGTGTTATAGCCGATGATGGGGAGACATAGCTTCATACGGCTTTTTATTACAGCGGTGCTGAGGGCCAGTGTCAAAGGAAAATATGCAGTGTGAAAAATAATGGAAATAACTTAGATATTATTACGGGAATTCCATCTAATGTAGAGCTGCAGCTAACGATTATTTTCAAAATCGATTAGTTAGCCGATTATTACGTTCGATTAATCGGTTAATCGGATAAACAATAACATACATTTTAAAAAATGGCTCCAGTGATGGACTACTAGTTTGTATTGAGGTTGTAGTCCATCACAGGAGCAAGCTTGGAGCGGTGGAAGTAAAAAAATGGTGTGGTGTGTGCAATATAGTGAAATGGAAAGTGTAAAATTATACAGCAATGAATGCAGAATGGCATCGGCTATAGAGGACTACAAATCCCAGCAATAGTACATTATACAGCAAAATGCAGAATACCGCCAGCTATAGAGGAGCACAACAAATCCCAGCAATAGTACATTATAGCTGGTGGTATTCTGCATTGCGCTGTATAATGTACTATTGCTGGGTTTTGTAGTCCTCTATAGCTAGTGATGCTCGGCATTGCACCACTGTATAATGTACTATTGCTGGGATTTGCTGTGCTCCTCTATAGCTGGTGGTATTCTGCATTGCGCTGTATAATGTATTATTGCTGGGATTTGTAGTCCTCTATACAGCGCAATGCAGAATATCGCCAACTATAGAGGAGTACAACAAATCCCAGCAATACATTATACACACAGTGTACAATGTATTGCTGGGATTTGTATTCCTATGTATAATGTACAGCACAATGTACCATCAGCTATAGAGGAATACAAATCCCAGAAATACATTATAGAGCACCATGTGGGGGGAGGGGTGGGAGTGCAGGCTTGCCTGAGCAGTTTTCCAGCAACTTGCTTCTGAGATCGGACCTGTCTATCGGCGGCTGTTATCCCCCCACACCTGCTCCTCCTTACTACATCTCCCCGCGCCAATCGTGGATGTGGGCGGGCGGAGAGTGTGAGGCGGGAAGGAGGTGCGGCGTGTAGAGCGCGGATGCGGGCGGGTCTGGCAGCGGTGAGCGTGAGTTGGGGAGGAGGTGCGGTGCGCATTTGTGGACCCGTGAACAGGGCCAACTGATCGGAAGCCGATTAATCGATTATTGAAAAAGTTGACAACTTTTTCAATAATCGATTATAATCGATGATGTCGATTAGTTGTTGCAGCCCTAATCTAATGCATGACGAGGGACAGCAGAAGCTGGTGCTGGGGAGCTCTAGGCATACTATTGCCCTTATATTTTATATATTTCATTAAAGCAGAACTCTGGGCACAAACTTTTTAAAAATATATTCCTTAATAGTCACAAGGATATAAGTCCACATTGTGTGTATACCTTTACAAATGCTTTTGTAAACCCAGGTATTGCCTAAAGGTAATGGTAACATCATCACTGTGCTACACAAAGTCTGTGCAGAAAACCGTGCTGTGGGGGGCACCCAGCAGGTCCGCCCACTACAGGCTGCCTGTAGAAAACTACAGAAGGGGGTGGGTACAAGACCAGTCCCCCTGCACAAGGAGAGAGAACAGCAGTGACTGGTCTTTATTACAGGAAGCTCCTGCATGGAAGCAAAGTTTCACATTGAATTACTGCACAGATCTGGATGAAATACACAGAGCACACCAAGTAAGAATAAACATACCTCTTGTATTTAGACAACATTTGCTTATCCTGGATTTCAGCTTGAACTACCTGTATTAATATAATGACAGCATTTTTTATATTCGGCTCATATGTGAAAACACTGCGGTCAGACTGCAACAGTGGGGCTAATTCATAAAACTTGTAAAATATACTATATATGCCATGACACTGTGTTCGTGACCTTAATAGTTCGTGTTACTTGTGAGAACACTGCTCTGCTATGCTGTTGCATGTTTCAAAGTGGAGATGATGCAGCTGCGGAGACACACTCTTAATAACGTTATTTGACGCTTTATAAATAATGCAATGAAAAGTGTCTGCGTATGCAACATGATATTTTACCTCAGTACTTACGAATGCAGATCGGACGTGAAGTGAACAAGTAGACCTACTCATAATAAAGTTGCAGGCAAGAACAGCTAAGCTAAAACAGGATTATTGGTATTTACATTCAGAAATTGGCTACTATGTTTCTGTAGTTTGACAGGACTTGGAACAGCTGGAGAAAACCCAGAAAAACATAACATATCAGAACATCTACGGGAGTTTGAAAGTCCACATGACCGTTATTAACATACTGTGATGGTTGGAACATAAAGCTGTGAACAAGGCTACACCAGGGGCATGGCTATGTCATTTTCTGAGACATTTATCAAGCAGCAAATGTAGATGCAAATCGGGCTGCTTTTAGGTGTTTTTGCAACACCGGCGTCTGTAATCAAGGCCAGCAAACTGCACCAGATTTGCACAAGTCTGTACAGATACAGAATAACCACTGGGGACGAGGCAAATTTTCTCTCAAAACTGACGCGCAATTAAGAAGTGGTTAGGGTCAGGTTTTATTCCATTGCAGTGCTACTTGAGAGAAGCAGAGGGAGGCTTGTATGAGTTAAGCTGCCTTATTATCATAAGTCTGTCACACTATTCCTGTTTACCATTGCCTTGCCATGCAACAGAATTGATAAATGTCCCCTAATGTGTCCCCAGATCATCATCTACTAGTGGCTGATGCGTTGCTGCTTTTTACTGATTGAGATTTTTTGTTTAAAAGTAGGAGGGGTGAGAGGAGGAAATAAGGCTGAATAGAGGTGGTGGGAGTCAGCAAGACCAGATGGTGTTTGTGTGTGTATATGATTATGTATATATAAATATATATACTGTATATATTTATATATAGACACACACACACACATCCTGTGCTTCTTTGTGGAACTACAGTCATATCACGGATATATAATTGTGGGATGTAAGGGGGGTGGAAGGTTTAATACTTTAGATAGATACATCCTGTTGCCCTGTTTGTTCCTCAATCATAGCAGGAACTGCATTACCTGCTTCTTGATCAGACCTGCAATCACAGTGCCTGGCAGAGGAAAGTCTTCCGGCATCAACCTCTATTCAGCTATCTGCACATAAAATCTTAGTGCCATACATGAATTGGTGCTGAAAGACTTTCCTCAGCTATGATCGCAGGTTTGAACTCCCTGTTCAAGTGCAGGTAGCTAGAAGTTACTTGCCCAGAAGCTGTCAATGGCTGCAGGTCCCACTCTGATAGAATTCTGAATGGGCCATTGGCCCAGCATATCTTATTTGTATTGATGTGGTGGGCAAATGTCCCCCTGATATCAGCCCAGTCCTCCTATGTTGGCGATGCAGGAAGCAGAAAAATAAAGGTTACAGAGTACAGGCTGAGGAAGTCAACTCCTACTGTCCTCCCTCTGAGCATGTTAGATGATCTGTGAAATCTTCTGTATCTGGACTACTCAAATGAAGGTTAATATTCTGGTTTTAGCACAGTTGCAGTGTTTACATTCTTACCATGTCACCAAAACTATTGTATTTCAAAGCAACAGGAAAGAAAGTGTTTCTTCCAATTACTCGGTGTTTCTTCCAATTACCTTGTATTTGATCATTCTGTAGCAGAGACATGAAAGGTTTCTTCATGTACTTGTAACCTTCTTAACATTTACAAATCAAAAACTCTTTTTATTTTCTAGGATCTGGGCATGGAGTCTACATCTTTGGATGATGTTCTTTATCGATATGCAAGCTTCCGGAATTTAGTGGATCCTATAACACATGACCTTATCATCAGCCTTGCAAGATATGTACACTGCCCTAAACCGGTAGGTGCCTACTAGTTTAATAGAACTCCATCCAAAATATATTTGTTAAGTTAGCTGACAGGATCAGTCGCATTACTTTACCGGCCCCACCCAGAGCACCATTGAAGTTATTGTACAAATAGCAGCCTTCAACTTTGACTGCCACTAGGCTGCTCGGGTCACAGGCATTGCATTTTAAAACTGGGACTGGGAGTGTGCATATTCTCCACTAACAGTGGCAGTGGAGTGACTAATGTAAGTACATAGTATCTGCTGTCAGCTAATGCATCCCAATGACTTTGCAGTCCTTCCCAACCAAGACAGCTTTATTATAGGAAATTAAAGCATGGTATGCTTACCTAGCCTTCTAATCCCATACAAAATTCTCATTGTTTTCGCTTGACATTGAGGCCCCATTCACACCTTCCATTGCCTTCCATTGGCATTCCGTTGCCTTCCATTGGCATTTGTTTTTTCAACAGATGCTAATGCAAGGGCACCGAAAAATGTAAGGGTGTGAATGGGGCTAGTTCACACTGCTGTGTTGTGCTGCAGTGTAGAGTACGCTCACTTTTTTCAGCGCAATGCGTCAAAAACGCTGGTTAACACATGTAAATGCATTGCAAGTAAGGAAAAGGCAATACAGTGAAACATGTCCACTCAGGACATGTTACTTCACATAAAAATTGTCCCCCCAAAAAAGGAATGCACCCCAAGGATAGTAAAATTGAGGGTGCAATCGGAAAGTCAACGGAACCTACCCTACCCTGTTATAAAGTTGCCGTTAGACAAATAGCTTGTGGTGTAGATGATTGAGATGCAGAATTGTTACTTCTCTACAAATGAGCAGAATGCAGTAGAGTCATGCATTCATGAGTGGAGGCTTCTGCTGCACACTGTGGTGGGAGAGTCCTTTCACTGTGAGCTAGCATGTTCTGCACACACTGACCCTGGCACATACTGTTATTGATTGGTGTTTCTGCACATCTTGGCACATGTGGGAATCCGTGCCAGGCCCTGGCCTTAGAAAATAATGGCCGCCCTACAGTGCAACAAGCAGGTATTTATTCTCTGTGGACAGAAGCCGGTACACGCACAGCATGGCACGGTGACGTGGTGGTGCGAAGGTTTGATTAATCTGAGATCTGTCATTTTTCGAAAGGCGGGCAAATGAGGCTGTGGGGATGTGGGTGCTTAAAATGTAAGAATCCTTTAATTTCATTAGACAGACCACACAATAGCTTTCCTTTTTCATTTTAGAGTGGATGGATGGATGCCAGTTTTACTGAATGTTAAAGTCTAGCTGGTTGCTATAGGCCAATCTTCTTTTCACATTGCATTTTGCTTTACTGGAAAAAAA